TACTGCTTTTCTATGAACACACAACATCCACTGGCGTTACGTCTTGTTGTTAGCGGGTTATTATCATAAGTTATCGTTACACACGTTCTGGTGTCTCTGTACACTGTATTCTGCTGTCCTCACTATTGTCTGTGTGTACATTATGCTGTCCTGTGCACTTGCGTTTTTGCTTGGTAAGGCTTCCTTCTGATTTGTCACTATGCAGTTCACATCCTTGGTTGCTATTGATCACTTCAGGCTAGTATTTCAACGTTTTGTCATTGTCATAACAACAGTCTGTCTGTATCAGGTGTAGAGGAAATCCTGCTTTTGGCATCAACTTTACACCCTGATGAAGTTCAATTTGGCTATTGTTGCTGCTGCTTTTGTTGCTGTTGCTGCTGTTGCTGAAGGAGCCACTCTCAATTAAAGGGCAATGGCTTCCATTTATGCCTCCCTCCCTCCATTCCCGTCTGGTGTCTTTTCCTATAAGTTCCGTTTTTTCACTGCTATCTTGACTGTCCTTGTTCATTGTAAGATTGTCATGTTTTCACTTCTGTTCTGTTCTCAGTCAAAGTCCTTGTTGGAGGCGAAATATTTTTTGTGATTTTTTTTAAATGTCATATCCTGACAAACTGAATGTTCCAGTCCAAGAACACAAATATAAGGAGTACTCGCTCAACTCCTGTTTAGAATCCATGGCTTATCTTCCTTTGGAACAGACCACACTTCTACACCTTGGGGAAGACAGCTGTTCATGGTTTTGATTGCTGATCTGGTTTCTGTCCTTGTACATATTGTAAGTGTCAAGTTTGTTCATCTAATAGGTAGCCTCTGTTCCTCATAATGTATCCTTGTTTGTTTTGCTAACCGTGCAACACTTTGTAACACTGGTATTGTTGAAACTTTGACTCAAGGATTTGTCCACCTCATCATAATTTCTCTTTCCAAAGGTAGCCTGCTGTTTCCATAGCACTGGACAGCACAGATGTCTTTTTGTCATAATCTGTTCTGTTTTAACTGTCTGTCTAAGTACTTCTTGCAGTCCAAGTCTTGCACAATCCACATGGCATGCATAATTGGAACAAGAAGCACGAAGTTCCAATGGGATAAGCAGCTATCAACCAAAGAGAAACTTCTATTTCATCATCATCATCCACATCATCAGCATCAGTTGTTGCTTTCAACTTTGAAGCTGGTGGGCATTGTGAGACTGCACCAACACACAGCTCAAATGAAAGATTTTAAAGTATACAAGTCAAGTTAACAAGATATTCAATCTATTACTTACTCTCTACTAGGTTTAAGTTAGTAAACTACTGTCAGTTTGCTTTATTTGTTAGTAATGTTATTACAGATACATGTACATGTTCCGACATGTAATGCTCAGACAAAAGCAGGAAACAGTGTTAGTTTTGCATTGTGTTATAAGTTGCAACTGTGCAGTCTTAATATCCCCATTTAAATCGAAGAACCTTCTGTCCAAGCCAAGGTGATTTTACTAGACCTCTACTACTGACCTGTAGAACTGCGCAAAGATGTCTATGCAGCAAAAAGACTTGTCACACAGGCAAGAATAACTTAAGTGTCATCTTAAGGCAACACATCATCCAAGTTTCTGTTGTTCTAGCTATTTCTGTTCGTTGTCTGTCTGATGAATGATTGTGCCCCCCAAAAATAAACAACAAAAAGGGCTCCCTGGGGACACCTACATTGTAGCTGTGGGTTATCAACCACAGAGAGTTTTCTTTCTTCTTCTTCCTCCTCTTCCTTTGGAGTTGAGTCGCTCAAAAGCCTACCTCTATCAGCACAAGCTGAGAGTTGACTTTACGTAATGGTTATGTAGTGTGATGTGCAGGTATTAAGGCCCACTTACAGGTAATTTGTATCTTAATTTTGTTTTTTGGTTGTTGTTGTGAAGCAACAGCTGCAATTATTGTCCTATTTCGTGGGACCTCACTAGTCAGAGTTTCTATGAAACATGATTAAGGGTGGAAATTGCAACAAAAATTGTTCAAAAATCACCTCTGAAAATGGGCCTTTAGTAATCTGGTTAATGATAGTTAACATAATGTGTTATTATAGATTGCAACCTGTATATTTTGAATGTTACTCATGGTTACTGCTCATTTGTGAACATGTTTTCTACAACAACAGCAAAAATTAACATTGGGTGATTGTCACAGCTTTTTGTGCATCGTCTATATGATTATGTCATTTTCTGTAATTTTCTAAGCTTTTCTACTACAAGTTATTCTGGATTATTTGGTGCAAGTTAATAACCCTGAAGAGAGCTTGCTATTTTCATGCATCTTTCTGACTGCTTGGATTGGCAGGTGTCAAATGCTGACCAGAACCATGCAAAATTTGAGTGCAAGGTCTGTTTGTTTACTGCTACTACTGCTACTACTACTTCCACAAATTTAATTCATATAATTGTTAGTATATGATATGAAATGAGTGTTGTGAATATGTGTGATCCCTTCCTCTGTCGTGTCTGTCACATCAAATACAAGTGGCATCTGGGTCAAAACAAGAAAATCTCCAAATTACCTGCAATGATCTGTGTAGAATGGTCAAAGTGAAATATCCCTTCTCAGTGATACCTCTTACAGACAAGGTGATGGTGCTCGTATGAAGAGTAAGATGTATGCTCACTCTCTCTTTGGATGTTACGATTTCAACACTAATAATAATATCTCTAGTAGTTGGCTATCAAAAAAAATAATAAAATAAACAAAAAAGACAGATTGTAACCTGCTTAATTCCTTTTGATTTAAGCCTTTTACCTCCTGACCCCAGTTGTTCAGAAGCTGGATACACTAACCACTGCACAAGTCACTATCAATTAGACAGTGCTGTTGGTTTAATGACACTTATTGAACAACTGGGACCATAAAAACAGAAAACCAAAAAGTCATTTGCCAGTAGATGTTCATCTACAAGATGTAAAGAAACGAAAACAAAACAGTTTTGACAGGAGGAACAAGGCTAAAAACAATTCACTAATTCAGAATTTTACTTGTGTTGGAAAACCACTGATTGTCTAGCAATATTGCTGTATTCTCATTTTGGAATTGTTTATAGACTTTTGATTCTTTTGTTTTATGTGGTTATGCCAACACTAAAAAATTACTCTCATTTTGTAAAAACAAACATTATCTTTCAAAGAAAAATCCTCTAAAGTTATTGTGATTGAAAATCATTTTCACTACGCAACACAAGTGGTACCAGGCTCAAGCAAAGGAGTCAACAGTGTCTTTGATTATTCCAAGAGCTTCATGGAGCTGTTCCTCTGTGATAACCAGGGGTGGTGTAAAACGGATGATATGATCATGGGTGGGCTTCGCTAACAGACCATTATCCCTAAGTTTCAAACACACCTTCCAAGCATCAAAATCTGAAATAAATAAGCACATAATTGATCCAGATTCAAATTTGGATTTAGTGTGTCAGAAGCAATGGACTAAGTTAGTTACATAAAAAATAGCTGAATTGCACAGCCTACAAATATTGTTCTCATTCTTCCAGAGCACTTTCATTTCTTTGATCAAAATTTTGAGAGTAAAACTGAATTATAATCTAATCACTGAACTGTGACCTCCATTTCCGCATCAAATACCAAGTACTGAGCCAATCCTTCAGAAATATATCAATCATTACAAGGTTTTTGCCATTAAAATAGCATCCATGAAATTTGCTGTGTTTTCACTCTTTGTGAGGGGAAAGACTGCAACCTATAAAATGTCTGAGAAACAAGATCTGAAAACAATGCAGCCTTAAACTACATTACAGGTTCTTCATGCAGATAAAAGTGTTCAGTGGAGATTATCCAGTTAATCAATGTGAATGAAAGAACAAGCAAAATCTGTGTTCTCAGGATTTGTCTGGAACTATCTTGCAACAGAGTTAACCCTTCATGGGAGAATCTTTTCAAATGAAAATTAAAGATTAAGCTATCTAAAGAGGGTCATGATAATATTCCCTAGAAGTAAGCTCCATTGCAAGTTACTACTCGTCCAGTCCTTGGTATATATGACACTGCTCTAACCAATTAGCAAAAGTAATAAGTTTCTACTGGTCTGCCTTGGCCATCTTGACTGTATTAAGGCGTGAAACAGACTAAGAGTAAGATCATTTGGGTCAGCCAAAAAGTGCATGCAGCCACAACATGTACTTTGAAAAATATACATTTCCAAAATGCAGTGATAAATGTTACACTCTCACCATCTGTGGGGTTAATCTCTATAGCATTCATAAGCCCTTTCCCACGAACAGTCTTGACAACAGCTGGGTTTAACTTGTTTAATTCAGGAATCATGATTTCTCCGAGTCTTGCAGAATGTTCTGCCAGCTTCTCTTCCTCTAGAACCTATAAGGACAAAACATCAGTTAAATAAATGTATAAAAATCATAATCTACTTACTAACCTTCACATTCAAAACCGTTTAAATGTAAAAAACAGCAAGCTAAGAAAGTTGATGACAGTCTTTTATTTCCGCTTCCAAGGTGAACAGACCTCAGCCTCCAAACAGCCTAACATCAGGCACTCAGTCTACTGAAACTCCCAAGTACAAAATTAACGATCAGCTTTCAACCTAATTTTAATGTCTTACTTTCAATGCAGTGATAGCAACTCTACAACCCAGAGGATTTCCACCATATGTTGAGCCATGCTGAAAAGAAAAAAAAGGATGTTTTCACTCTACATACTTGCTGCATGATTACGTGAAATGGCATATATGCCTGAAACTAAGGTTAGGACAAAAACCAACCAAAAAATATTGCTCCGTTACCTGCCCTGGTTTGATAGTAAGCATAACAGCATCATCACAGAGAACTGCTGAAACCTAAAAGCAAAANGTTTTCGGAACTAATCTAAACAGATCCTCAAAAAGATCCTCCGAAAGGTGCCAGTTTCGTCATGCGTGCACAGTAAGGTACAAAGACTCAAGGAAGGGGATTGTTTTAACACGGCAAATGATATAAGAAACAAAGGGCAGAAAAGGAAAAACACATTACTCGGTGTCAGTCCTTTTAATACTATTTTCCCTTCACGCATTGTATGCAAACTAATAAAATAAAACTAATTACAAAAGCCATAAATAAACAACTAAAAAGAAAGTAATCAACAAACAACATCTACGACTTAGTCCTTGCCCGAGTGGGTGTATCGAGATATAGCGCAGTGATTTTATGGAATGCAGCTTTCTCGTGTTCTTAACCGACTGATGCAAGTTCAATATTTTAAACCAACCAAGCTCCTAGTATTACCACAAAAACTAAACCTCGCACAGTTTGGTTACTGTTAGCCTCCTTTGCAGACGTTATGGCTTGTCACACAATCTTTCCTCCCCACTTGCAGCTTGGGGGTGGGTGGAAGGGGGCAGATTGCGTGAATACAACCATATAACAACCATACAGAAACAAAGGCTTAGTTTTGGCTGAAATTGTACATGCATGTTATCATATCCTGTTAACCCACTTACTCTTCTGTTACTGCATGGATCTTACATTTATTTGACTTCACAAGGATATTTCACATTGACCAAATGCAAAGAGAACAATTCAGAAATTCTCTTTTGCCTATTGAGCCACTTGTAGTTGACCATAGTTCGGTTCCAAGTCACTTGTCAGTTTTCTGTCGCATCTAGTCTGTCCAGGATGATGTTTTTAGATACATTTCTTGCTGCCATTTTGATGCACTCTTTAGCTACCATGCCACTTTCTAAAGGTCAAAACTAACTTTCAAAACTACTGACATTCTAAGAACTTTACAAGGGGCAATTTATGGTTTTCCTTCTTTGTCATGATCTTATCAGTTGCTCTTCATGTTGATGCAAATCTCACTTCACTGTTTACTGCTTTTCTATGAACACACAACATCCACTGGCGTTACGTCTTGTTGTTAGCGGGTTATTATCATAAGTTATCGTTACACACGTTCTGGTGTCTCTGTACACTGTATTCTGCTGTCCTCACTATTGTCTGTGTGTACATTATGCTGTCCTGTGCACTTGCGTTTTTGCTTGGTAAGGCTTCCTTCTGATTTGTCACTATGCAGTTCACATCCTTGGTTGCTATTGATCACTTCAGGCTAGTATTTCAACGTTTTGTCATTGTCATAACAACAGTCTGTCTGTATCAGGTGTAGAGGAAATCCTGCTTTTGGCATCAACTTTACACCCTGATGAAGTTCAATTTGGCTATTGTTGCTGCTGCTTTTGTTGCTGTTGCTGCTGTTGCTGAAGGAGCCACTCTCAATTAAAGGGCAATGGCTTCCATTTATGCCTCCCTCCCTCCATTCCCGTCTGGTGTCTTTTCCTATAAGTTCCGTTTTTTCACTGCTATCTTGACTGTCCTTGTTCATTGTAAGATTGTCATGTTTTCACTTCTGTTCTGTTCTCAGTCAAAGTCCTTGTTGGAGGCGAAATATTTTTTGTGATTTTTTTTAAATGTCATATCCTGACAAACTGAATGTTCCAGTCCAAGAACACAAATATAAGGAGTACTCGCTCAACTCCTGTTTAGAATCCATGGCTTATCTTCCTTTGGAACAGACCACACTTCTACACCTTGGGGAAGACAGCTGTTCATGGTTTTGATTGCTGATCTGGTTTCTGTCCTTGTACATATTGTAAGTGTCAAGTTTGTTCATCTAATAGGTAGCCTCTGTTCCTCATAATGTATCCTTGTTTGTTTTGCTAACCGTGCAACACTTTGTAACACTGGTATTGTTGAAACTTTGACTCAAGGATTTGTCCACCTCATCATAATTTCTCTTTCCAAAGGTAGCCTGCTGTTTCCATAGCACTGGACAGCACAGATGTCTTTTTGTCATAATCTGTTCTGTTTTAACTGTCTGTCTAAGTACTTCTTGCAGTCCAAGTCTTGCACAATCCACATGGCATGCATAATTGGAACAAGAAGCACGAAGTTCCAATGGGATAAGCAGCTATCAACCAAAGAGAAACTTCTATTTCATCATCATCATCCACATCATCAGCATCAGTTGTTGCTTTCAACTTTGAAGCTGGTGGGCATTGTGAGACTGCACCAACACACAGCTCAAATGAAAGATTTTAAAGTATACAAGTCAAGTTAACAAGATATTCAATCTATTACTTACTCTCTACTAGGTTTAAGTTAGTAAACTACTGTCAGTTTGCTTTATTTGTTAGTAATGTTATTACAGATACATGTACATGTTCCGACATGTAATGCTCAGACAAAAGCAGGAAACAGTGTTAGTTTTGCATTGTGTTATAAGTTGCAACTGTGCAGTCTTAATATCCCCATTTAAATCGAAGAACCTTCTGTCCAAGCCAAGGTGATTTTACTAGACCTCTACTACTGACCTGTAGAACTGCGCAAAGATGTCTATGCAGCAAAAAGACTTGTCACACAGGCAAGAATAACTTAAGTGTCATCTTAAGGCAACACATCATCCAAGTTTCTGTTGTTCTAGCTATTTCTGTTCGTTGTCTGTCTGATGAATGATTGTGCCCCCCAAAAATAAACAACAAAAAGGGCTCCCTGGGGACACCTACATTGTAGCTGTGGGTTATCAACCACAGAGAGTTTTCTTTCTTCTTCTTCCTCCTCTTCCTTTGGAGTTGAGTCGCTCAAAAGCCTACCTCTATCAGTACAAGCTGAGAGTTGACTTTACGTAATGGTTATGTAGTGTGATGTGCAGGTATTAAGGCCCACTTACAGGTAATTTGTATCCTAATTTTGTTTTTTGGTTGTTGTTGTGAAGCAACAGCTGCAATTATTGTCCTATTTCGTGGGACCTCACTAGTCAGAGTTTCTATGAAACATGATTAAGGGTGGAAATTGCAACAAAAATTGTTCAAAAATCACCTCTGAAAATGGGCCTTTAGTAATCTGGTTAATGATAGTTAACATAATGTGTTATTATAGATTGCAACCTGTATATTTTGAATGTTACTCATGGTTACTGCTCATTTGTGAACATGTTTTCTACAACAACAGCAAAAATTAACATTGGGTGATTGTCACAGCTTTTTGTGCATCGTCTATATGATTATGTCATTTTCTGTAATTTTCTAAGCTTTTCTACTACAAGTTATTCTGGATTATTTGGTGCAAGTTAATAACCCTGAAGAGAGCTTGCTATTTTCATGCATCTTTCTGACTGCTTGGATTGGCAGTGTCAAATGCTGACCAGAACCATGCAAAATTTGAGTGCAAGGTCTGTTTGTTTACTGCTACTACTGCTACTACTACTTCCACAAATTTAATTCATATAATTGTTAGTATATGATATGAAATGAGTGTTGTGAATATGTGTGATCCCTTCCTCTGTCGTGTCTGTCACATCAAATACAAGTGGCATCTGGGTCAAAACAAGAAAATCTCCAAATTACCTGCAATGATCTGTGTAGAATGGTCAAAGTGAAATATCCCTTCTCAGTGATACCTCTTACAGACAAGGTGATGGTGCTCGTATGAAGAGTAAGATGTATGCTCACTCTCTCTTTGGATGTTACGATTTCAACACTAATAATAATATCTCTAGTAGTTGGCTATCAAAAAAAATAATAAAATAAACAAAAAAGACAGATTGTAACCTGCTTAATTCCTTTTGATTTAAGCCTTTTACCTCCTGACCCCAGTTGTTCAGAAGCTGGATACACTAACCACTGCACAAGTCACTATCAATTAGACAGTGCTGTTGGTTTAATGACACTTATTGAACAACTGGGACCATAAAAACAGAAAACCAAAAAGTCATTTGCCAGTAGATGTTCATCTACAAGATGTAAAGAAACGAAAACAAAACAGTTTTGACAGGAGGAACAAGGCTAAAAACAATTCACTAATTCAGAATTTTACTTGTGTTGGAAAACCACTGATTGTCTAGCAATATTGCTGTATTCTCATTTTGGAATTGTTTATAGACTTTCGATTCTTTTGTTTTATGTGGTTATGCCAACACTAAAAAATTACTCTCATTTTGTTAAAACAAACATTATCTTTAAAAAAAAAATCCTCTAAAGTTATTGTGATTGAAAATCATTTTCACTACGCAACACAAGTGGTACCAGGCTCAAGCAAAGGAGTCAACAGTGTCTTTGATTATTCCAAGAGCTTCATGGAGCTGTTCCTCTGTGATAACCAGGGGTGGTGTAAAACGGATGATATGATCATGGGTGGGCTTCGCTAACAGACCATTATCCCTAAGTTTCAAACACACCTTCCAAGCATCAAAATCTGAAATAAATAAGCACATAATTGATCCAGATTCAAATTTGGATTTAGTGTGTCAGAAGCAATGGACTAAGTTAGTTACATAAAAAATAGCTGAATTGCACAGCCTACAAATATTGTTCTCATTCTTCCAGAGCACTTTCATTTCTTTGATCAAAATTTTGAGAGTAAAACTGAATTATAATCTAATCACTGAACTGTGACCTCCATTTCCGCATCAAATACCAAGTACTGAGCCAATCCTTCAGAAATATATCAATCATTACAAGGTTTTTGCCATTAAAATAGCATCCATGAAATTTGCTGTGTTTTCACTCTTTGTGAGGGGAAAGACTGCAACCTATAAAATGTCTGAGAAACAAGATCTGAAAACAATGCAGCCTTAAACTACATTACAGGTTCTTCATGCAGATAAAAGTGTTCAGTGGAGATTATCCAGTTAATCAATGTGAATGAAAGAACAAGCAAAATCTGTGTTCTCAGGATTTGTCTGGAACTATCTTGCAACAGAGTTAACCCTTCATGGGAGAATCTTTTCAAATGAAAATTAAAGATTAAGCTATCTAAAGAGGGTCATGATAATATTCCCTAGAAGTAAGCTCCATTGCAAGTTACTACTCGTCCAGTCCTTGGTATATATGACACTGCTCTAACCAATTAGCAAAAGTAATAAGTTTCTACTGGTCTGCCTTGGCCATCTTGACTGTATTAAGGCGTGAAACAGACTAAGAGTAAGATCATTTGGGTCAGCCAAAAAGTGCATGCAGCCACAACATGTACTTTGAAAAATATACATTTCCAAAATGCAGTGATAAATGTTACACTCTCACCATCTGTGGGGTTAATCTCTATAGCATTCATAAGCCCTTTCCCACGAACAGTCTTGACAACAGCTGGGTTTAACTTGTTTAATTCAGGAATCATGATTTCTCCGAGTCTTGCAGAATGTTCTGCCAGCTTCTCTTCCTCTAGAACCTATAAGGACAAAACATCAGTTAAATAAATGTATAAAAATCATAATCTACTTACTAACCTTCACATTCAAAACCGTTTAAATGTAAAAAACAGCAAGCTAAGAAAGTTGATGACAGTCTTTTATTTCCGCTTCCAAGGTGAACAGACCTCAGCCTCCAAACAGCCTAACATCAGGCACTCAGTCTACTGAAACTCCCAAGTACAAAATTAACGATCAGCTTTCAACCTAATTTTAATGTCTTACTTTCAATGCAGTGATAGCAACTCTACAACCCAGAGGATTTCCACCATATGTTGAGCCATGCTGAAAAGAAAAAAAAGGATGTTTTCACTCTACATACTTGCTGCATGATTACGTGAAATGGCATATATGCCTGAAACTAAGGTTAGGACAAAAACCAACCAAAAAATATTGCTCCGTTACCTGCCCTGGTTTGATAGTAAGCATAACAGCATCATCACAGAGAACTGCTGAAACCTAAAAGCAAAAGGAATTTTTAAAACTTAACTAGCTAGGGATACAGGTTCTCGCTATTTTCGCTCTCAATTAAACAAATCAAAACAGGGGAGAAGAAAGGTTGGTCTTTGCGCAAATCAAATTAAAATTCTAAATAGTTTTCAGAATAGTCTAAATAGAAACCTAAATAATTTCATGTAACTTACTGGGTAAACACCACCAGACAGAGCTTTCCCAAGAATGACTAAATCAGGTCTGACATTCTCGTGGTCAACACACAAGCGCCTAAAATATAATGCAGAGGACGTTGCCTAACAAAGCTGTTAGTGAACAACTTACAAATGGACGGCTATTTCTTTACACATTCCTCAAGTTATAGGAACTTTATTATGAAATTATCCCTGCCCCTTGACCTGCTTGAAGAGATGACTGATAAAAACCTTTGACTGGTATATCAACTATGAGATCAAGAGGTTGACTGTTTGACCTCATACTTGCACTGTGTTCTTTAGCAAGACCCACAGAAACACTTTCCCTATAGACATAACTAGGCATCGCAAACTGTTGTAATACCGCCTATGAAAGAGCCCCTTAGGATGAGTTTTCAGTACTTCTACTGGCCTTGTATAACAAATACTTTGGCAAGTCAAAGGAAATTTACATTCATTTTCTTCAAACTCACCTTCCAGTTCTTCCAAGACCAGTTTGTACTTCATCAGCTATGAAAAGAACCTATCAAGCAAGTGACAAAGTTAAGTTTTGGTTCCTTGGCTATTTATGTTTTTAAACAGATTAAAGTTAAGCTTCTTATTATGAAGTGCCAAGTTTCCTAAACAGATGCTGCACTTAAGAAATGTTTAGGAATTTAATAAACTACAGGTTACTGATCACAACAAAGTTATGTCTGCACAGTACAGTAAGGGCTTACATTGCCAATTCTGACAATTACACAATTCGCTTATCAGGCTTTGAACAACCCGGCCCAAGAGCTCCGCTTTTAGGCATGGATAAATCTACATGTTATTTTCTTACTCATTTAACAATTTCAACTTGAGGAATATCCTAGGATAGCTTAAAATAGTGTGACTTGTTCCCTGCTCTACAAAACCAATTAAAATCAAAGCAAAGCACCTACATTGTATTTGGAACAGAGTTCCCTGACACCTCTGATGTATCCATCGTCAGGAATCATCACACCAGCTTCACCTTGAATTGGCTCGACCATGAATGCACATGTGTTTGGATCACTGATGGCTTTCTACAACAATAAAACAAAACGTGCATGAATAATCCAATGTTGATGGACCCAGGCAAGGCACTCTTTCAAAACACTAAGCTGGCTAAATTTCAGACATTTGACTACCCACATTGTACCATAGCTTGTTATCATATGCTTTTCTAACTTAATTATTTTCCTTGGGGTTTGACCAAGCAGGTCTTGGACAAGGTCAGTAGATTTGGACTGTTCTTTGGCCTATAGATCTTGCCAGTTCATGAGCCAGTTTCCAAAATATGAGCAGAGTTTGGGGCAAAAACTGCTTTACTTTGCTTTGAAGGTTGTACAAATAACTAGTTTGACTGTATAGACTGTAGAAATTTCTAAACAAACTGAATACCCATTGATCAACATTATAAGACTACAAGGTTGTCGCTTAACACCGGCTGCTGGCAAAATTTGCTGGCTGAGAAAAAGGTGATCGCCGGCTGGATACTGGTGGGTGATCACTTGGTAAAGGACAACAAATGGTATTTGGTTACGCACGTACAATCATTCCATATCTAAACCATATCGAACCATCTAAATGAAAAGTTAGGAATAAATTCCTAACTACCTTGAATATTGGCAGCACTATGACGAGTAAAGAAATTGAAATATAATCTTGTTTTGAGCACTTGTTTAGCGTGTTCTCCTTCAGTGTACTGCACCCAGCATTTTGTAAACATGAACCTTTGAAGCCATGCATTCAAGGAGTTGGGAAAGATTGGGGACAAAAATTTTGTTCCAGGTCTTTTATGAAAAATGGTGACTGGCTCAATGGAAATCTTAGCCAGGAGACTATTTTCTTAGCTACAGCCCTGAGAGTAGTTAAACAAAAAGCTAAAAATAAATTTTGTTCCAGGAGGTCAAACTGTAATATTATTTTACTCTTTGATGCCACAGATATGCTATACTAAAGATACAAACTTAGTACCAAGTTCTAAATTATTTAAGTGAACCTGTTTTAGCTTCAAACTTGTACTTTGGTTTACTGATCTCCTATAACCATGCCACTTTGATAACCACTAAAAATTGTTAATACCAACACCACTGCCCCCCCCCCCCCTCCCACCAAAAAAAAAAACCCTGCCACCTTTTAAAGCAGTATAAAATATAACAATGGGACATTCCATTTTTTATCCACACCCCCTCCTGTGGAAAGGCAGATTCACCCTAGTTTTTTGTTGTCGGAACCTTTCAAGTTTGCATCCAAGGGGTTCAAAATTTTGTCGGCTTCTTTGAAAAAAATATTCTGCCAGGTCCTGTGTCAGAGGTTGCCTTCCATAGGGGGTGTGCAGATAAAAATAGGAATGTCCCAATAGGCAAGCAAAAAAAGTCTGCCCAAACACAAGATTGAAGGATACAGGGGGGTAATTCCTGTTATTGTGGTTATAATTTCAGCGGGATTGTCTGTGAAGGAAAATGCACAGAGGGGAGTATTGCCCCATAACAGTCCCCACAGCCTGCACCCTACGCAAAACATTATCAAGGTCCAAGAGAAACTCAAAATTTAATCCCAGAAATTAACCATGATGTAAGGATACTTAGGGGAAGAGGTAACTTGTCTTTCCGGCGAATTAAAAAAATATGGTTCCACAAGTTATTAAAAACACGTGGCGTCATTCCATTGTCTGGTGATCTTCAAAAACAAAATTATAAACTCACCTCCAACGCTGAAAGGTCATTGTAAGGAACAAGCTCAAACCCTGGCATAAAAGGACCATATTCACCGTAACAATCCGGGTCAGACGAAGATGAAACAGCTGCAAGAGTCCTTCCCCAAAAATTATTGTCAGCGAAGACAATTTTGGCCTTGTTGTCTGGAATGCCCTTGACTTGATATCCCCATTTTCGCGCCAGTTTGCATGCGGTTTCACCACCTTCGACTCCCGTGTTCATGGGCAAAAGTTTATCATAACCAAACAGCTTGGTTGCGAACTCTTCGAATTCGCCCAAAACGTCGTTGTAAAACGCTCGAGAAGTTAACGTCAAGATTTCTGCCTGTTCTTGGAGCGTTTTCACAATTCTGGGATGACAATGCCCTTGATTCACAGCCGAGTAAGCTGCGAGAAAATCGAAGTATCGTTTTCCAGTCACGTCCCAAACGAACACTCCTTTCCCTCTTGCCAAGGCTGCTGGCAATGGGTGATAGTTATGGGCTCCATAGGTATCTTCTCGCTTGAAAATGTCCTCGGGTGTTAGCTGGTAGGCGGCCGAAGCGCTTGGAGTGGAATACTTTCTCGTCGCACGAAAGAGGTTTCTGTTCAGAGAACGAGCGAGGAAGCGAAGCATTGTTGCGATAAATAACTAAATCAACGCACTAAAAAGCGATAAGAAAATCAATTCTTTCAAATTATAAGTCAATTTTAAAATTATTTTGATTGCATTTTGGTCAGAGACAGAAGGGCAACCTCCTCCCTAGCAAATCTCAGCGACCATT